TGAAGACTAGCCTGGGCAACACAGTGAAACCCTGTCTCTACTAAACTGAAAAATTAGCCAGGCATGGCAGCGTGCACCTGTAGTCCCAGCTACTCGGGAGGCTGAGGCAGGAAGCTCGCTTGAACCTGGGAGGCGGAAGTTGCAGTGAGCCGAGAGTGCGCCACTGCACTCCGGCCTGGGCAACGGAGCAAGACTCCCTCTCCAAAAAAAAAAAAAAAAGTTTGGTCTGATACAATATGTGAGAGACTACAATACAAAACAGATGAAAACATCTGTGCACTTCAAGTATATAACAGTTATTTTCTAAAAGTAGGAGGTGTTCTTCATTTTTTTTTTCCCTGAGACGGTCTCAAGTCTGTCGCATAGGCTGGAGTACAGCGGCCTGATCACAGCTCACTGCAGCCTTGTCCTCCAAGGCTCACGGGATCCTTCCACCTCAGCCTCCCAAGTAGCTGGGAGAGAAGGCACATGCCACTATGACCAACTAATTGTTTTCATTTTTTGTAGAGATGGACTCTTGTTATGTTACCAGGCTTGTCTTGAACTCCTGGTCTCAAGTGATCCTCCCACCTCAGCCTCCCAAAGTGCTGGATTATAGGCGTAAGCCACCATGGCTGGCAAGTTGTCCCCTTTTTAACTACTCATAAGAAGAAAACAGTACATATTACCAGAACATTTAAAGGTGGTTATTACCTATAAATACACAACTGATATTTTCAATGAGATGACATCCACAAAAAATTAAGTTAGAAATATTCTTACCATTATCTTTAGTAAAAATGATACGATTTCAGTAAGGCATGACAGACACTGGAATCCCTATGCTATATATAGCAACCTAAATTGTTTGTTTAGTTTAATACTACTTAACAGATTTAAGGTACATAAAAAATATCTTCTATAGGTTAACAAGGATATCCAGGACTTGAACTCATCTCTGTACCAAGCAGACCTAATAGACATCTACAGAGCTCTCCACCCCAAATCAACTGAGGATACACCCTTCTCAGCACCACATCGCACTTATTCTAAAACTGACCACATAATTGGAAGTAAAGCACTCTTCAGCAAATGTAAAAGAACACGAATCACGACAAACTTGTCTCTCAGACCACAGTGCAATCAAATTAGAACTCAGGATTAAGAAACTCACTCAAAACCACACAACTACATGGAAACTGAACAACCTGCTCCTGAATGACTACTGGGTAAATAACAAAATGAAGGCAGAAATAAAGATGTTCTTTGAAATCAATGAGAACAAAGACAAAATGTACCAGAATCTCTGGGACACATTTAAAGCAGTGTGTAGAGGGAAATTTATAGCACTAAATGCCTACAAGAGAAAGCAGGAAAGATCTAAAACTGACACCCTAACATCGCAATTAAAAGGATTAGAGTAGTGAGGGCAAACAAATTCAAAAGCTAGCAGAAGGCAAGAAATAACTAAGATCAGAGCAGAACTGAAGGAGATACAGACACAAAAAACCCTTCAAAAAAAATCAATGAATCCAGGAGTTGGTTTTTTTTGAAAAGATCAACAAAACTGATAGACCCCAAAGCCTCACTCAAAGGCTGGCAATTTTTTTTAAGTACTTTTCAAAACAAGTAAGCAAATGTATATCATCTCAGCAAGTTATCTGTTATGGACAGGACATCTATATTCGAACGAATAAGAAAACAATATTAACTTTAACAAAATCTAACTTAAAAGGGGTATAAATATATTTTTAGTAACATTTTATTCTTATTTACAAAAGAAAAGAACACCTTGATATCAGAATTTATAGATTCTATTTCAACATTAAAGAAAGCTGGGAAAATGAAAATTTCTCCTTTTCTTCACCAAAGATTCCTTCCAAAACCTCACTGACAAAAGTAAAATGAGGGCCATTTCAAATACCTACCTATGTTTTAAAAAACCTTATGGAACTTGGCCGGGCGCAGTGGCTCATGCCTGTAATCCCACACTTTGGGAGGCCAAAGTAGGCGAATCGCTTAAGGACAGAGTGCAAGACCAGCCTGGTCAACATCATGAAACCCTGTCTTTACTAAAAATACAAAAAATTAGCTGGGCATGGTGGCAGGCACCTGTATTCCCAGCTACTTGGGAGACTGAAGCAGGAGAATCGTTTGAACCCGGGAGGCAGAGGTTGCAGTGAGCCAAGATAGTGCTACTACACTCCAGCCTGGGTGACAGAGCGGGACTCCATCTCAAAAAAACAAAAACAACAACAAAAACGTTATGGAATTTGTCTGACAATCACTCATTGCCTTCCACTCTACCCAAACTCTAGTTTGTCAAAAAAATTAAAATGCTGGAGACATTTAAGAAATACATTTCTTGCAAATGTACTACATTTTAAACTAACTTCAAAAGACAATTTCATTTTCATGCTACCAACATGAATTACTCTATAATATTTGGAAACTTACAAACAATAACTGTTTATCAGACTTCACCTCCTTGAAATCCTTCCTTGAAAGTTAAAAATCCACCTAACTGCCAAAAACAGGTTTCACTGCTGATTAGAAATGTGCAGTTTTTTAAATGGTTTCATGGGGTGCAGTGTACACTGCTCAGGTGATGGGTGTACCAAAATCTCAGAAATCACCAGTAAATAACTTATCTGTGTAATCACACACCATCTGTTCCCCAAAAACTACTGAAATAATTTCTTTGAAACTACAAAAAAAGTCAAACACAAAACTTACAAAATTTAACTAAAAAATATTAAAAAATAAATAAATAGGCCGGGCGCAGTGGCTCAAGCCTGTAATCCCAGCACTTTGGGAGGCCGAGGCGGGCGGATCACGAGGTCAGGAGATCGAGACCATCCTGGCTAACACGGTGAAACCCCGTCTCTACTAAAAATACAAAAAGAAATTAGCCGGGCGTGGTGGCGGGCGCCTGTAGTCCCAGCTACTCCGGAGGCTGAGGCAGGAGAATGGCGTGAACCCGGGAGGCGGAGCTTGCAGTGAGCCGAGATCGCGCCACTGCACTCCAGTCTGGGCAACAGAGCGAGACTCCGTCTCAAAAAAAAAAAAAAAAAAAAAAATTAAATAAATAAATAAATAAATAAAAGGTTCTCATAAGTAATTACAGATACAGGTGGCCAAAATTATTTGAGAAACAGTTCTTAGACTTGCAAATTTTTTCTCACTATACTAAATTGAGATAACTTGAGCTCAATTTTCTGCAGTTTAATTCATTTTGCAAACACACTTGGTCTTCTGGCATTTCTAATAGCATTCCTGTTGCTTGCTTTAAAATTAAACTAAAGAGACGGTTCCTATATGAATTAGTGTATTCTCAGTGCCTTATTCAAAAATATAATTTTCATGCTTTATATAAAATACCAAAAAAATGTTTAACATTTTTGTAATGGCAACTTTGGATCAATATTGGAAGAATTTTTAAAAAGTAAAAAGCCTATGCCTGCAAACAACACCCTGTGAAAGCCCTGTAATAGCTTAAGAGAAACAAATCCTTTAATGTCCACTGCAGTCAGCAGCTGCTGCAAGACCGTTATAAAAGAAGTACTCTAATTCACATACATAAGATTTCTTTTTATTTCTGACATTTTATCCAACCTTTCTTCTCTGTCACCCTCACCAAAAAGAACAAAAGAATTTTACCCAATGTTAAATAATCTACAGAAATTATTGGCAGGCACTGGGTACACGTTTACATAGGAATCAATCACTATTTCTCAAAAAACTGACAGCAGAAACACTGCAGTCAAATAGACCATACAACAGACATTAAAGAATCGTTAAGGGTTTTGTTTTTGTTTTAACATAAATGATGTTTTATTCTAATTGGGTACTAGAGATCATCAGTTGTTTCTTTTGTTTATGAAACCTGCTGCCACTGGTAGGAAAATGCCAATCAGCTATATCTACAACTGATATTTCCAACATTGTATTATTCACAATCAGTGCAAATTTACAAATTATTATGAATCAAAGCTAAATAAATAAAAAATGAAAGAAGCTTAACTAAAAATTGTTTTGGCATTTCTAATAAAATCTTTTCCTTATCCACTAGTAACTTTAAAAAACTGACTACAGAAAAGACAACAAGATTTTAGACTTTAAAAAGTAAGAAGCAACACTTGGAAATAAAAGTATAACTTGCTTTCTATTAACTTTTAATTGTCTTTCTAATTTAAGACCAAGATTTAAGTGCCTATTTTCTAAAAAAAAATTTTTTTTGAGACGGAGCCTCACTCTGTCACCCAGGGCTGGAATGCAGTGGTGCAATCTCAGCTCAATGCAAGCTCCACTTCTCGGGTTCCCGGCATTCTCCTGCCTCAGCCTCCCAAGTAGGTGGGACTACAGGCGCCCGCCACCATGCCAGGCTAATTTTTAAAATTTTTATTAGAGATGCGGTTTCACCATAGATGGTCTCGAACTCCTGACCTCGTGATCTGCCCACCTCGGCCTCCCAAAATGCTAGGATTACAGGCGTGAGCCACCGCGCCTGGCCTATTTTCTAATTTTAAAAAGCAGAAAGACAATTCTTTATTCAAGAACTAGCTAAATCTGTATTTATTAAATGCAGCCTACTGATTAAAACTAGTAATTTACACCAGTAATTTGACCAAACTGCATTTTACTGTTGCACTAACTCAATTACTCAAGCTCTAACTTTAAACGCATGCATAACTAATTTAAAAATCCATAATCGTACCATAAAATAATAATCATAGAATAAATATATACCTTTGGTAACAATGTCAAATTTAAAATGCTACTAAAAGAAGTATATCCATTAAAAATAAACAATCTTTATAATTGTAGTGCTTTCATAAACCCTCTTACTTTGATATCACTTATACTACAGGCATATAATTTCAGTACATTATTAGACTGAAAGTAAAGTAACATTACTAAAACAGAGAAAATGCTTAAGTAATAGCACATTATTTACATGGACATCTTTCTACAATTTAGTAAAAAGACTAAAGCAAATCTGAATAAATACCAAATTTTACCTTTTCTGTATTGTAATATAAAGATTTCAAAGTAGTAAACAAGGGTGGGCATCCTTTACTGAAGTTAACCCTCAGGAACTTATCCATTAGTTCTCTAAATCTTTCACCTAGAAACAAAAGCATACTTTGTTATTCTTTGGTTCATGCAAACAATTCTTAAAATGATTTTCTAAGTAAAAATAAAGCTCTCTCAGAAACAATTATGCTCCTATCCAATTTATAAACCAAAAAAGTCAAACAGTTTTAAGTAGAGTAAAAGTTATCAACTATCCATTGTGAATTTAGCACAATATCAAATATCTTTCCTAATCTCTCACTGACTAGCACACTCAGTCTACAGCTCAAAACCCTTCAGATATGCAAAAAGCACTCTGCAGCAGACTATTGTAACCAGCACTATATTCAAGTGATAGCCACAAGATCTTTTTAAACACTAAGTTGGTATTTGCAAATGTCTTCCCAAATCAATTTGTCATTTACTTCAACATTCATTCATTCATTCCACAATAATGTGTCAAGCACTTACTACATGCCAGGCACTGTTCTAGGTATTGGGGATATAGCAATGATTAAAATTAAAAAAAAAAAAAAAATTAATTCTACCCTAGAGAACTTAACATCTCAGTGAGTGAGGCCAACAATAAAGTAAATTGATGTTAGACATTAGACTAAGCTCTGGGTATTCTAACATTAGAACTAAAATAAACAATCTGTTTGCAACATCAAGTACATAATTCTTTCATTGCTAAACCCCTACAAATGATTTTTGTCATCACCTTTTGAAAGCAGAGAGTATTCAAAGAATTTTAATTTTAAATACAGAGATATAAGAACTTTTTGACAGTATGGACTAATACATAAGGACATGGATTTACATAATCATTTGGGAAAAAAAAACCACATATATGTCATGAACGATTTAGCCTCAAGTAGGATGATTGAAATGACCTCCTAAGATTTCTTAATGAATCACAACACTGCACAACAAAATCTAACAACCCAAAATGGTTATTTTTATTTGTTGTGACTGACCATGTTGAACAAAACATGCATGCATACTCAATATAATTAAATGTCATACAAAAATTTAACTCCATTAACTATAAAGACTGTATTCAGATAATCTCTAATCTCTTAGATCATACACAAAATACTGGGGTGTTTTTGTTTTTGTTTTGAGACAGAGTCTCACACTGTCACCCAGGCTGGAGTGAAGTGGTGTGGTCTCAGCTCACTGCAACCTCCACCTTCCAGGTTCAAGCAATTCTCCTGCCTCAGCCTCCCAAGTAGCTGAGACTACAGGCGTGTGCCACAACGCCCAGCTAATTTTTGTATTTTTAGTAGAGACGGGATTTCACCATGTTGGCCAGGATAGTCTTGATCTCTTGACCTCATCATCCACCTGCCTTGGCCTCCCAAAGTGCTGGCATTACAAGTGTGAGTCACCACGCCTGGCCAATACTGGTCTTTTGAAAAATCACAGATTACGAAGACAACATAAAACTTCATCCTGGGTTAAATTACACACCATTGCTTCTTTAAAAGTCAAAAATAGTTTCAGAGACTGCATCTTTCCAGTAATTCCTCTGGTGTACGACAAAAGCTAACAATATTGTGGGAGACAGTAAGAGACGCTGTTTCTTAGAGGAATGCAGACTTCTCCACTTAATTGTGTGCAACCTTGGGCAAATAACTTGTCCATTAAAAACCTCGGTTTTATCACTGTAAAATGAAGGCAATACCATCACTGGCCTCAAGAGTACACTTGTATGGCTCAAACGAGGTAAGACATAACAATAAACAATGTCTTCCATATAGTAATCACTCAATAAATGCCTCATCTTCTCTGATATCTGACAGTTTTTATATTTTAGAGTTAATATTTTGTTTTCTATACTTGCAATCAACCGCTGAGAAAACAAGCCTTTTATCTACACGGCAGAAGCCACTCTGAACTCCTCCTTGGTCAACTTTCTCAGTCTATTCAGATCACATTGGCAAATCTGATTTATTAGATTGTGCAGGTATGAAAAAAATGACGAAGCTCTTTAAGTGCTGATCCAGGACTAATCTCCAAATACGGAGTTAAGTGAAAAGAAAACCCAGGTTCGCAGCAATCCATCAATCCATGCTACCGCATGTTTGCAAAAAGCAGGGTGAGGGGTGTGACCTTAAACAAATCTCCTACACACATTTTTGCTCACACATGCACAACATATTTGTAGAAGAATACACCATCAGCTGATCACAATGGATGTCTGCAGGGGAAGTAAACTTAGTTGCCAAGGGACAGACAAGAAAAAGACTTCATGAACTTATAAACTTTTTACCTAATTGGCAACTGTGTGAATTTATCACCTAAACAAGAAGCCGACACAGCTACCCAACTGCTTAGTCACACACCATATCCCCAAATTACTTATGATTTATCCATCTCATTTTTTTCATCAATTATTATGTGCCTCTTTAGCATTACTGCTCACAAAACAGGTTACCTAAATAATTCTCAGATAGATACACAGAATGATGTCCCCAAAACATGATGTCCCTGTTTATACTAATTCCTAAAATAATTAGTGTAAACAGCAAGAATAGTCTGTTTCTGATTCACTGGAAATCCATTCTAAATAATGGAGCAAAATTTAATTAGTATACTATGTTTAATACTCTGGATTATTTCCTTCCCTCTCTCTACCCTTCAGCCAGTGCATAATAGAACATGATGAATTGAACTAATTATTTTGAAAAGTACCTTTATCCCTTCATTATTTTTAGAGCACTTAATATTTTCGGGTGTTAGAAAATTTCCTTCTTGTTCTGTGGTATGAAGCCCTTTTATCTAAAAAATGGAAAGGCTTTATCAAAACTTTCACCTTGCATTCTCAAGATGCATCATTTTTCTTGAGGAAGATCTTACTGCTTTTGATAATGCCAAAATGGTTTTCTAATTGATCATGAAAGCATTTCTAGACAGGCAAAAAAATCATGAAATATTTGGCTTTGCACAGATAAAATTAAATATTTGAATAATTTTATATATATTCACTGGAGCCTTGTAAATACACATATGTCAGAATCTCAAAGCGATGATGACCTTGAAAGCCCATGCCATCAGACCCCTCCACTGAGACCTGTTTTGTAAAAAGATTTTTATGACATTTCAAAGACAGCATGTCCAAGAGAGTCTAGGATGGTTCCACTTTAACCTAGATCACACTTTACAGTAAAAAAAACTCTAGGCTCTTTCAGTAAAAATGTATTTCCTACCCTATACTGCCACATATTGAGGGCTTTTAGCAAACTCATATTGCCTATGGAAATAAATGTAGGCAGTATAAATCTGAAGCTCCATGTTCCAAATGAGAAAAAGAGAACAAAGAAGTCTTGTTCGTAATCTTAAAGCTAAGCGAGGTTTCTTTATTTCCCAAGAAGCATATGAATGCAGTTTAAAGCTCCCAAGGAAATATTCCCCCCCACACACAATATATTGTGAAACACAAAATATACGTTGAGACCAATAAAAGGAAGAGAAGTCAGGCACTAAAGACCACATATGGTATGGTTCCATTTATTTGAAATGTCCAAAAACAGGCAAATTCACAGGTACAGAAAGTAGACTGGTGGTTGCCAGCTACTATGGTTGAGGGGTGATAGAGAGTGAAATAGGTATGGGGTTTCTTTTTGGGGTCATGAAAAATTTCTGAAAGCAGACAGAGATGATGGTTGCACAACATGATTAATATACTAAAACACTGAATTGCACACTTTTTAAAAGTGAAGTTTATGGTATATGAATTATATTTCAAAAAAGCTATTATTTTTTAAAACAAAGAGGAGAAGGAAGAAATACAGAAATGTAAGCTTAAGCATCTTCCACAAGACACTTTTATTAGCAAAAATACTCCTCACTACGCATATACTCCCATCTTTGAAATTCACAAAGTGTATATTAAAAGCTCTGAGAAGTCCTATAGAAACCTGATAGCTGTGTCTAACCCAGTTTCCCAAACTTACTTGGCTGAAGAACAGCCCAAGCACAAGCACACCAACAACCTCCCCACCAAGCCTATTAATATCCACTTGGACTTAATGTTCCCTGGAAAACATTAGAGAAATTTGCTCTCTGTATTCTACAAAAACAAAACAAAAAAATGGAGGATCAGAAAAATACTATTCTTCATATGTGGAACTGAAATGCAATAGTATAAAATGAATTTTTAAAATCAACTTCTATCTACTGTCTAATCAAATACATTTCTAAAGGGTATTTCACATATTTCACAAGCCAACTAAAAATTTTTAATTTTCATCAATCTTTTGGTAAAAATAAACTTATAACCCAAGAATTTAAACAAATATTTGCCACTCTGAGAATATAAAATATACTCCTCACCTCTCCAGAATACGTTTAAATGATATTAGCTTTGTAGAGTCTGACTTGTATCAAAATACCAGAAGTCCCAATATACAATTCATAATCTCTAGTACTTACAACTAAAAATAAAGACTTCAACAAAAACATATACTTTTTAAAAAAGTCAACAAAGATATTAGCTACCTGAAGAGCTAATATACTGTCCACCTCCTATGTAGCCCAAAAGTAAATGAGTTCAGCTACATACAATAACTCGACTCAAGGTCATGAATATCCTATTGTACAATAAAAGCAAATCACAGAATACGTACCAGAGTACTCCTAGTTATATAAAGTACAAAAGCTGTTTTTATTTTCAGGAATACAAAATACATGGAGCTCTAAAAATAAAAGTAATGGCATGATAAAAAGCAAAACTCAGGAAAGTGGCTAACCAAGTGAATGATGACATTCTGTTCTTAAAACACTGTGGTGGGTGCAAATAGCTCACAACTATTTCTTTGAATGTATGCTCAAAAAAGAAGATATAAAACTGCAAAACTATAGCTTGAGCCCAGGGGTTTGAGGCTGTAGTGATTGTGCCACTACACTCCAGCTTCAGCCTGGTAACAGGGCAAGACCTTGACTCAAAAAAAAAAAAAACTTCAAAACTTTTACCACTCAAATCATGATACTACATATAATTTGTCACTAATTACAGGGAATTTACCTTCTAAATATGGTGTTTTAAAAGTCACATAAGACAAGCAGTTTTTCTACCAATACATAATATTTGTACATACTTAGGCAGTACATGATATCGTTACATACACAGAACGTGTAATGATCAAGTCCGGGTATTCAGGGTATCTATCGCCTTGATTACTTATCATTTCTATGTGTTGGGAACATTTCAAGTCCTCTCTTTTGCTATCCTGAAACATACGATATATTGTTCTTAACTACAGTCCCCTTACTCTGCAAACACTGAAACTTATTCCTTCTATCTAACTGTACGTTTGTACCCATTAACCAACCTCTCTTCATCTCCCCCCTACACCCTCCTTGCCAGCTCTGGTATCTATCATTCTACTTTCTACCTCTATGAGATCAACTTAAGAAAAGCAGTTTTATATTTATATAGATAACTTCAAATATTAAAATCAACATTTAGCTACACATGGAAGTATAACACTCTTATTAACAGATAAATAATAAATTCACAACTGTTCACTCCCAACTCCAAGACTGCTGTAGACATAAACTCCCTAACAGAAACACGTTTCCAAAATATAAATTAACATTGAGTAATTTCGGCAAATAATTAGTATTATAAAAGACATCCTAATATTACCTGGGACAAGAGTCAAAGGTAATCTTCTGGGTGTAATTGCTTTGGGGTGCTGCTTACTAATTTCTTCATAAATTTGAAGCCTCTCTTCCAAAGTGCCTATTATCAGTAAATATGGGTGAGATTTATAGCATCAAAACTTTTATCCATGGTAAAATGCTAACAAACTTTTAAAATGTCATATAAATAAAACTGCATTAACAATATTAAAGCTGCTTTCAATTTTGGCAAAAATGACATGTAAAACTCTCCGGCGGAGAAATACTATAATCAGTTAAGTCACTGTTTTAAACTCATCTCCAGAGAAATCCAAAACTTGTTTCATCGCAAGATTCTAAATACAACCCAAATCACATATACAAGCCATCACAGACTCAAGATATGCTGCACTTCTCTATATTCCTTTAGCATACAACTCATGGAAAAGAAAATCTTTTTATAATGTATCTCTAATAACATATCTTACATAAACACTCTGAACCAAAGAAACCTACATATATCCCCATAAAAGCCTATAATGTCTGTTGATTAGGCTCAAAGGAGCAACACTTTTAGGATTATGATTGCAAATGTTTAAAATATAAAAAGATAAACTAAACTTCCATGTTAACATTAACACTTAAAATCTTCAATGAAAGTCCATTATCCTTCCAAAAGACAAAATTATACTTCTAACAGAAAGTTGTATCTTCCCTCCCAAGAGCCACCTAATTTTATAGTACCACATAAAGGATGTATCTATACATAAACTACTTGTTACTCTGAAACAACAATATGCAAGCAAACAGGATCTGGGTGTAGTTTATCTTTCTAAAATAATGTCCTGCATAATTCACAAAAAGAGATTTATAAGCTATAAGATAATTTATAGTGGAATTTTAAGAAAAAGCAAACCTGTTTTAGAACTATAACGTTTTAAGTAGATCTTAATCCAAATTCTGTCGTCTAAACCACAGAAAAATAACTATCCTAAGAATAACCCTCGGTGCTAGCAAACAAGGTATCTCTGTAGTGAATGTAGTGTTTATAAGTATTGACACTCAACATTAATATCAAGCATCAAGATTGTAAACACCATGCTTGAAGAGGTGTGATCTTGTTTAGACTCATTCCTTCCCCCCAATAATATGTTTTGGAGCTCCAATTTGGTTGGATTTTAAGACCAAAGATATGTGTGGGGGGAAAAAAAAAACCCTCATTCTCTGTTAGTAATTTGGAGACTTCACAAAATATTAAAGACCCTTATACTAATACATAAATGCTACTGCATATAAATATTTTTAAAATATTCTCATATTCATGCCTCATCTTAGAGAAAGACAAGCACCAAGTATGAAAAAAATTCTCCACTACCCTAGATATAACAAGCCGTATAAATGTAATCAAATTAAGACAAAACTAAACAAATTCAATATCCTAAAGTCACAAGTTGAAGCTCCAGAACTTACTATGAGGAAGGAAAGGTCATAAGCTACCTAAAACAATAAAGTAGTGTAATTAGTTTTGTAATCAATACATTTTATAGTAACCAAGAATCCTGATATATGGAACATATTATTCATTTTAGTAAAACATTAAAATATTTTTATTAATTGTAATGTTACTACTTTAAAGAAAAATCATAGTTAACCCATGTTTTCAACCTTCATGCATATGAATTTTGCTGTTCTCTTCAGATTATTACTTTAATCAATATTGTGATTTTAATCATTTTCTTAAAAATATTTAAGAAAATAAACTTTTAACAATTTGCAGTGTAAAATTTTAAACATAAAAAGAACATCTGAATTAATTAATACTAGTGAGGATACAACAATTAAACTTTTCTTGTAGCTTATACTACTATAAATGAATATGGGTAGCTACCTATTTACCAAACTTTTTTTTTTTTTTTTTTTTGGAGACGGAGTCTCCCTCTGTCGCCCAGGCTGGAGTGCAGTGGCCGGATCTCCGCTCACTGCAAGCTCCGCCTGCTGGGTTTACGCCATTCTCCTGCTTCGGCCTCCCGAGTAGCTGGGACTACAGGCGCCCACCACCTCGCCCGGCCAGTTTTTTGTAGTTTTTAGTAGAGACGGGGTTTCACCAGGTTGGCCAGGATGGTCTCGATCTCCTGACCTCGTGATCCGCCCGTCTCGGCCTCCCAAAGTGCTGGGATTACAGGCTTGAGCCACCGCGCCCGGCTTCACCAAACTTTTTAAATTTAAAAATTCTAAAAAATAAATAAATAAATAAAAATAAAATTCTGTTTCAACATCTTTGAGCCAGTTTCATAATTATTTCAGGAATACATTTATTCATGAGTAAATATGATTTTAGGAATATTAACAGTTCCTACCAACACTTAATTATGAAAAATTACAAAAGTCTTGGACTCACACTAGATTTCTAAAAAGGTCAAAGTTACCTAATTTCAAAGGAAGATATGTAACATTTTGCTCTACACAAATTAGCCTAGTTTGAAATCAAAGCAAATACCCTCAACAGTAATTGTTTGGCCCAATTATTATTTAGAGGTTGAGGGTAATGAATGTCTAATGGTTTTAAAATATTAAATAGTTACAACACTTCCCAGAAAGGGAATGCTCATTTTCTTTCCCATGTCTCTACTCTAAATTGGTATTTTTTTTGTTTTGTTTTGGTTTTGCTTTGTTTTGGTTTTGCTTTGTTTTGGTTTTGCCTCACCTCCCAACACCATCACAGGTAAGGGTCAAGGAACCTAAAATATCTGCAAGCACTTACACTTAAGTGTAACTATTTGAATTCATTTTCACTCCCATGTTTAATCTATAATTTTACTAAATGGAAAAATGAATACTAATGCTAAAATTGTTTGTTCTCAAGTATTATTACAACTTTACATTTTATTATACTTCAAACAGTAGTTATGAGAAAAAGGAGAAAAATCATTACATACTAATTTGTAGAGCTTTTTCCAAGCCTTCATAATAACACCAATTTTCTGCATTCCGATCAATCAAGTTTTTGAACACTTCACTGGCTTCTTTTAATCTTCCCAATTTCAACAGTATTTCCCCTGAAATTAAGTTTAAAGACATATTCATTTTAAACATTACCTATCTATCTGACCCCAGGGACTTCACTAAGCATTATCAATGAAGAGATGGTTAAGAAGACACAACTCTGTATGCTTCCCCTTTGGACGTGTAGCAGTTTATGCAACTAAGCCTTCAGAAGCTTGCCTTCAGAAGTGAACCTTCATTTTTGGCTCCCTGTTACACTCCAAACACTTACGTAGGACATTAATTTGTTAGTAAAAAAACTTTTGCATTACACACATATCATACCCTTTGAAATAACTAAAGACACACACAAACACATCAAAATTAGACTGGCAAATAATTCTAGGGAACATTCCTATCTTCCTACTACAAGATTTGAATATATCTTTCCTATCAGTTCATATATTAATTCTCCACTCAATTCTCATTGTTTCCTTTCAAGATCACTAAAACTGGAGAAGTTTAACTCAGTGAAATTATAACATTAAACACCGCTTTGTAATAGGAAACCACACAAGCCATGTTCATGTACAGATTAGCTGAGTGGGTCGGTAAAAGGTCAAATCCTTTTACTAAGCCACACAAATTAGGAGGAGGTGTGGAGAATGAGGACCCAGACTTCTCTAATACGATGGAAACACACCTAATCCAAGATAAAGGGGACAGTCTCAAAAAAGAACATACCTCAGCTTCCTGCCCTCAAGATTACTCATTCCTCAAACAATCTATTTCAAGCAACCCTTTAAAATGTCTTCAAGTCATCCTATTTCTCCTTTCATCATGTCGGAGGAGGCAGTACATTATAGCAGGTTTTATGTACTATTATTTTACTATTTTTATATATCACTCAAACTCTACAATTAGACTGAACTAGGAATAATTACCAACTCCACCACTAACTAGCTTTGTGACGGGGAGAAAAGTGGGTAGTTAGCACATTGCCTGTCACATAATGAATACATATAAATATCTGCTACTGAAAACTTTAAATGTGCCCAATTCCTCCACGATTATCTTCTGGCCAATTGTTACCCTGCTTATCCCAGATATAATAAGACAACAGCATATTTTTCATTTTCAAAAAACATCTGTTATTTGCTACTACCATGAAGCAAAGGAATGCTAGGACAAATATATATATATACACATACATATACACACCCCTACATATTCATACATAAGCAGAAATCTCCAACTTTTAAAGCTTTTTAAAGGATCGTAAAAAGTTAATGACCACAAAGAAAACTGTGTGAATATCAAAGGTCTCTGGACCTGCAAAGTTCAGTGAAAATCTAAAAATAATACCATGATCTGTCTCTGTAGATAATGCAAAGCATGAGCTATGTATTCAAATTAATGGCCCCCAAATTACCCTCACTAGCAATATAAGGATAAATGTGACTATAGGCAATCTGCAGATTTATTTTTGTTTTTTGAGACAAGGTCTTGCTCTGTCATCCAGGCTGAAGGGCTAGTGGCACAATCACAGCTCACTGCTGCCTCAACCTCCTAGGCTCAAGCAATCCTCCCTTCTCAGTCTCCCAAATAGCTGGGACCACAAGCATGAACCACCACACCCAGATATTTTTTTTTGTTGTTTTGTTTTTGTTTGAGACGGAGTCTCGCTCTGTCGCCCAGGCTGGAGTGCAATGGCCGGATCTCAGCTCACTGCAAGCTCCGCCTCCGGGGTTTATGCCATTCTCCTGCCTCAGCCTCCCAAGTAGCTGGGACTACAGGCGCCCACCACCTCGCCCGGCTAGTTTTTTTTTTTGTATTTTTTAGTAGAGACGGGGTTTCACCATGTTAGCCAGGACGGTCTCGATCTCCTGACCTCCTGATTCGCCTGTCTCGGCCTCCCAAAGTGCTGGAATTACAGGCTTGAGCCACTGCGCCCGGCCCCAGATAATTTTTTAATTTTTTGTAGAGATGGAGTCTCACTATGTTGCCCAGGCTGGTCTTGAAATCCTGTACCTCAAGCAATCCTCCCGCCTCAGCCTCCCAGTGTTGGGATTACAGGTGTGAACCACCATTCACGGCCTATACTAACTTGAATTAATTTCACTGTACCATATTTACTTTTCAAAAACTGCATTCCCTATTTGTTTTTATTTTTAAGATTAAATAATCTAACTTAACTGCATTCCCTATTTTTTTTTAAGATTAAATAATCTAACTTATGGATTATATTGAATGCATTTCCTATTGATGCTACAGGACAAATATCAAGAAAGAGAAACAGCAACCCAAGGGAGTTAAGATTTAATCACGAAACGACAATAATATTTCAGAAAGGAAAAATAATTGCCTTTTTTCCTCTTTGCTCCCATCAATAAGTAATGGAACAAGAGAGAAATCAGAATATTTAATTATTTACCCATATTTTGTCAATAACTTTTAAAAGTGTCATTAATATTGGTATTAATATTAATAATAAAAACTAAATCACTCATGTGCTATACATTAACCAGAAAGAGTATACTGGTTAAAAGTAAGAAGCTCATGAAATGGGCATAGGAAAAAGAGCATATATTACTAAGTGAAAGAAGCCAATCTTTCTCAGGCAAGAAATGATCTGGCAAAAATAAAACCAATCTGAAAAGGCTACATACTGTATGATTGCAACTATATGACATTTTGGAAATGGCAAAACTATGCAGAGGGTAAAAAGATCAGTGGTTGCCAGGGGTTTGCAGGAGTGAGGGATGGAAAGGTGAAACAAAGGATGTTTAGGGCAGTGAAACTACTTTGTATAATACTATAGTGGTGAATACATGTCATTATACATTTGTCAAAACCCACAGAGCATGACAGTGGGAAAGGCTATGGGTATACAGATATATATGGCAACTCTCTGTACCTTTTTCTAGATTTTACTGTGAATCTAAAACTGTCCTGAAAATGTCTATTTTCTAGAAAAAAGTAAGGGCTCTGAAGTCAGAAGGATGTGTTGATGTGCTTGGAAACTATAACTCTACCACTTAAAAAGCTGGATGACTTTGGGCAAGTCCTTTACCTCTCTAAGCCTCAGTCTCTTCCACTATAAAATGGGGTTAATAAATAGTATCCATCTTAAAAGTGCTAAAAAATTAAATGAAATAAAGCAGTTTAAGCAATTACCATGCTCAAATAGAAGGAGAGTTTTAAAATATATATTAGCTATTATTTTTATTAAGCTTCAGACTTCAGAGGTCCTACAACTGTATGAAACTTTAGTTCTAAACTATTATTTTAGCTGGACATTCAATTTAATACAATATTGCTCAGGTAAAGAGAACTAATGAGAAAAGCTTTGTGAAAATTTTTTTTGACCCTTTGTTGATGAATGCTGTTAAAACTATAGGGATCCTGTCTTCATAATTAGCCCATAATGAAAATAAATGACCTTTGTGTTCATGATGATCCCAGTATCATCAATTATGGTTCTCACTGTATTTCATTAACTACATATGGATATACAGAGATACATACTCAATATGAAGGCAGAATAATATACCGCTTAAGAGAATGAAATCTGGATTCAAATCCAGCACTCTCCGGTTTACTAAACTGTATGACTTGGGGTTAGTCAATCTCTCAGTTCCTCAGTTCCCCTCATCTCCAAAATAGATATAATAACTACAACATAGAGTTGTTATGAGGATTAAACTAGTTAATAATGTCTTAATAATAAAGTGTTTGGAACCTTGCCAGATACATAACAAGTGTCATGTAAGACGTAGAGAATAAAATATGTAGCTTTTTGTTTTCTGTTTGAGGCCATTAAAAAAAGGGAAGCCAACTTACCTTTAATTTCTTCCACCAAAAGTTTATCACATATTTGTTTCTCATATGTTTCTATATGTTCCAAAGATTCTTGAAATAGATCTGCCTCTCTCATCACTTGATTCTGGTATAGTATCAGTTCACTATATTCATAATCTATTTTGTTTGGAGGAACCTGAAAAAAAATGACCAAATTACTTTAATTGTATAATTATATAAAGCAGTTACAGACCTTTAATTAAACTGCCTTCTCAGGAGAGTCATTCGCACAAACAAGAAGGCAACCCACAAGCAGATACAAACAGAAGAGTGATTAACAGCACCAAAAATGAATGCATTATTTAAAACAAATAATGGGGTGGGACTTCTGTCTACCCGCAAGTGATACAGGTCAACAAATCCTAAATACAAATATAAAAATGGTTGAAATACTACAGAATCTACCAAAAAAAAAAAAAAAAAAAACCTACTAGAATTAATAGAAGTGTTTAGCAAGGTCACAGAATAAAAGATCAATGAAAAATTACAGGTATACCTTGGAGATACTGTGGGCTTGGTTCCACACCACCACAATGAAGTGAGTGACACAATTTTATGGCTTCTTACCCTTGTTCTTTGACACCACCAGCATGTAAGTTCCACTGGCCAGGCACGGTGGTGCACGGCTGTAACCCCAGGTCTTTGGGAGGCTGAGGTGGGTGGATTACCTGAGGTCAGGAATTCAAGACCAACCTGGCCAACGTGGTGAAACCACATCTCTACTAAAATATAAAATTAGCCTGGTGTGGTGCGCATGCCTGTAATCCCAGCTACTCAAGAAGCTGAGGCAGAAGAATCGCTTAAGCCCGGAGGTGGAGGTTGCAGTGAGCTAAGATCTTGCCACTGCATTCCAGCCTGGGCAACAAGAGTGAAACTCGGTCTCAAAAAAAAAACTAAACTAAAAAAGTTTTATTAACACTATACTATAGTCTATTAAACATGCAGCAGCATTATGTCTTAAAAAACCAACGTTGCCAGGCACAGTGGTACACCCGTAGTCCCAGCAATCCTCCTGCCTCATACCTCAGTCTCTGGAGAAGTCCTAGCTAGGATTTCAAGTCCTAGTCGTAGCCTAAGAGTTCAAGACTGTAGTGCATAGCCACAGCACTTCCGCTCTGGCAACACAGTCAGACCCTGTCTCAAAAAAAAAGTAAAGAAAAGAAAATAGAAATTGGCCAGGCACAGTGGCTCACACCTGTAATCCCAGCACTTTGGGAGGCCGAGACAGGTGGATCACAAGGTCAGGAGTTCAAGACCAGTCTGGCCAACATGATGAAACCCCATCTCTACTAAAAATACAAAAATTAGCCAGGCCCAGTGGCAGAGGCCTGTAATCTCAGCTACTCGGGAGGCTGAGGCAGGCAGGGTAACTGCTTGAACCTGGGAGGTGGAGATTGCGCCACTGAACCCTAGCCTGGGCGACAGAGCAAGACTCCGTCTCAAAAAAAAAAAAAAAAAGAAAGAAAGAAATTGCAAGCACCTAAATTTAACCATCAAAATGTCATAATTTTGTGTTTAAAGGAAAGTTTTTTATCAAGTCCACCAAATGTGATACAGTACTATCTTTCGGTCAGAACTTGATTCTTGGATAAAAACAAAGAACCACTCTAATCAAGAATTCTCTGGTGTGAGGTAAAAAGCTAAAAACCTAAGTAAAGACGGCGGCCTTACTACACAGTTTATTTCCTCCCTTAAGAGAGTAAAAATAGCAGATTAAAAAATATAAAAACTCATAAATAGAAGATACTATATAAGACTTCAACAAATTTCTAGAAAACAGAATGCAAAGCAGTAAGTGAAACAGGATGGAAGAAGCCCAAGCCTAGAGCATCTACAAAGAGGAAATTACTACGGAGAATGCCTATCTGTTCTGGAAAACTCCAGACAGGGTCAAGATTATGAAATGACAGATAAACAGAGGAGTGGAAAAGAGACTCAAGGTTGGGGATTAACTCTAAGTGAAGTGACTCAATCCGCACCATCTCCATCAACTTGTAGCTGAATCCACATGTAGCATACTCTCCACTGAAACGTGGAGGCAGGCGTGGTGGCTCACGCCTGTAATCCCAGTACTTTGGGAGGCAGGATGATCATTTGAGCCCAGGAGTTCGAGACCAGCCTGGGCAACATAGCAACACTCCGTCTCTCCAAAAAAAAAAAAAAAAAAAACAGAGAGAAGAAAAATCCTACATTTTAACTGTTTCCAATTATGTAAAAAAGTTTTCCAGTTTTCCATAGGTCTCAAATACTTCAAGTCACATTTGAGGGCAGGGACAATTAAGAAGTCAACTACTCCGTTTGTGAAGGTAGAAGAAAACGTTAAAATTCTTACTTGCTGAGTTTGTCTAAATTCTTCCAACAGTTTTAGGGCCATATCATAATCTTTCAGCAAATGGTATGCAATAGCATATCCAATCCACGAAGCACGCTGTGTGGGGCGCAACTGAAGAAGCTGGTATCTTGTCTCCTAAAAAAATACATTTTAACTTGCTAAACATTCTCATTATTTCATTAAAGAAAACAATCTCACCTTTAACACAATTCTAATGAACTATATCAACAAAGATCAGTTTCAGCATGAAATAAAAGTACTTTTTATGTTTCTTACCTAAATTACTAAAGTTCTAGAATATCCTGTAATAGTCAGTGTGAGGCTGTCACTGAAACATCTTTGGGGCCCATGCCTTTGGACTGCCTTATTAAATTACCTTTAAATAATGAGGTTTTTTTTTTTTTTTTGGTAACTAAACATTCTGTAAGAAGACTAAGATGGTTTTTTTAACCACATTTTGCTACTTATAAAACTATTATATGAATTACATGTACTTACAGTGTAAATACATTGTAATAATTGGCCAGACACAGGACAGACACAGCCAGGGGAAACACCCAAACATCTGACTATCCCTTATTTTTACTGTTGGATCTCTGTCATTCCCAAATCCTTTATTAAAGCGTAGGTCAGTATTATTTTCTCTGCCAACTCTTGGCGTTACCCTGGGCAAATGCAAAACTAATGTGTATCACCCATCCCACAATCTATCCTCTAAGTCCCAAGATTTTCTAATCTTTAATGATTTTCTCCTCCACTCCATTCAGAGGCCCACTCCCACAGCCATACCCTACGAGTTACTGCCACCCAGAAATCATAAATTTAGGTATCTCACTCTCTACCCACAGCTCCCATGCTGCCAACACTATCATTTGGTGACATTCCTACCCTTGTTCTTTGACACCACCAGCATCTATACTTCCTGGGTCCTTCACACTTTCACCACCAGCTCTCCTTTTTTTCTTTTAGAGACAGAGTCTCCCTATGTTGCCCAGGCTGGACTAAACTCCTGACCTCAAGCGATCCTCCTACATCAGCCTCTCACGTAGCCAGGACTAAGACATATAATACCAGGCCTAGCTCTCTTTCAACTTAATTTATTTCACAATCCACTTTAGCAACCATTGTTTGGCCAATATTCTTAATTTCTATGCCTCATTCCTAAAGATAACTGATTTTAACTCCAACTGCATCTAAGCTGCTAAGCACAGCTGAAGAAAAAAATACACACTTTGAAGAGTGGTGCCATTATTATTACTAAGTTCAGCAGACCCCTTAAAGTGGCTGCAAAAATCTAGGCATGGGGTATGAGGGCTTATATGGCAGTAGAGGGCAAAAGAAGTGTGTAAATAATGTACTTAAAGAAAACTGTTAGAACCTAGTGACCTCCTTCTCATAAGAAAGTAAGAGAATTCCATGCTGGACATAGTGATTCTACGATACTAAGTGGAATAAGCACATGGAGATGTCCAGGAGAGTTGAAGATGCAAATCTGAAGAGGTCTGAACTACAGAAAGACTGGTTTATGGCAACCCTTCTAACATTTTTAAAATATCTACTAACCAATAATTTTTAAAAGCTACTTTTATGTTTAGGTTTCAATTATAAAAGCCCTATTAGTTTACCAAATTTGTAAACATCAAACCTACAAATAATCTAGTATAGCAGCCGCACACAGATATTCCAGTTAAACAGCTATGGCTAGGCATAGTGGGTCATGCCTATAATCCCAGCACTTTGGGAGGCTGAGGTGGGAAAATCACTGGAGCCTAGGTGTTCAAGACTAGCCTGGGTAACATAGCAAGACCTTGTCTCTTTTTAAAAAATAATTAATGAATTAAAAATGTTTTAAAAACCAGTTTTGTTTTTGTTTTTTGAGAAAAAGTCTTGCTCTGTTGTCCACACTGGAGTGCAGTGGCACAACCATGGCTCACTGGAGTCTCAACTCTTAGGTTCAAGGGATCCTCCTGCCTCAACCTCCTGGGTAGCTGGGACTGCAGGTGTGAACTACCATGCCCAGCTGATTTTCTTATTTGTAGAGACGGAGTCTGGCCTATGTTGCTAAGGCTGGTTTCTAACTCCTAACCTCAAGCGATCCTCCCACCTCAATCTCCCAAACTGCTGGGATTACAGGCGTGCGCCACCGCACCCCACCAGTTATCCTTTTTTGGTACTCAAGTAAAAAGTGCCATAACTATGACTGAGAAGGAAGGTCCCAAGTGACATACACCTTCTAACAAACAATCAAATCTACGTGATCTTGGCTTATGATCACCTCATTCTGAATTCACATGCTCTTAAATTATATCTACTGTAAAGTCACGTACATTTAAGAATGAAGTACTTACTCGGTAACCTTCAAGGTCTCTCATTTGGATCTGCAACAGTGAGAGATCCCTCAAAATTTGCAGGTTATCTTTATCTAATTTGAGGGCATTTCGGTAACATTTTATAGCTTCATCGTATTTCTTATCAGAACGCTGCAACAGTCCATATACATGCCAACCTATTAAGTTAAGGAAACAAAGACATACACAGACACTAGAATACACTATGCTACATATCTAATATAAAACTTACATTAAGGAAATGGTATTTTGCCTGGAATTTGTTTCAGAATGATCGGGGTCTGGGAAAGGGGAATAGTGAGGGGAAGTTAAAGAGGAAACCAGATCAGGCTTGGTTGATAATTGTCAAATTGTTGAAGCTGGGTAATGGCCACATGGGGAGGGGGTCATTATTCTGTTCTCTCTGCTTGTGTACATGTTTGAAATTTTCTGTAATATTTTAAGTAACCTTAAAGAATTCTTGGCAAAAATTCTTCATATTTTCTACCCTCTATCCCATCACTTGCCTACCCCAGCAACCTCAACATTCACCTATTCTTCATCATGATGTCTTGAAACAGAATATATACAAAAACTGCAACTACCTTTTGAAACAAATTTACAGTCAACCAATTCTAAAGTAACGTGTAACTATCATCTAATTTCCTAGTTTATATTAAAGGCCACAAAAAATAAGTTTTATTTCTTATAAATTAAAGTCTTAGTATATCTTGGAGTCAAAAGCCCCACAAAACTATCATACTTACATGCCCTTCTCTTCACTCTGGGGTAAGCACTGGGATAAAGAAATAAGTATTTAGTAATTTGAGAAAACCCTAAGCTAAATATGTGAAAACACTACTGAGATTATTTGTGTTCAATACCAGTACATGGCTAAGTGAATTAAATGTAACAAATTAAAATGCAAGGGCAATATGTGAAAAAAAATGCAGATAAACATATAGATAAGCAAAACAAATGAAAGTCAAATTCAATGATCCATCCTTTAAAAAAAAAATTTCTTTTGGCCGGGCACAGTGGCTCATGCCTGTAATCCTGACACTTTGGAAGGCCGAGGAGGGTGGATCACCTGAGGTCATGAGTTCGAGACCAGCCTGACCAACATGGCGAAACCCCATCTCTACTAGAAATACAAAAAGTAGCTGGGCATGGTGGTGCACACCTGTAGTCCCAGCTACTTGGGAGGCTGAGGTTGGAGAATCGCTTGAACCCAGGAGGCAGAGGTTGCAGTGAGCCAAGATCATGCCACTGCGCTCTAGCCTGGGTAACAAAGACTCCTTCCCCAACCAAAAAAAAATTTTTTTTTTTTTTACACACTGGGATATTGCCCAAAGAAAAACACAATTATAAAGATCAAATTAAGTAACAGCTATGTCTCCGTGTTAACAGAAACCAAGCTGAAGAACCAATATCATACTTAATATTAAGCAAAATCTGTTTTAAAATAAGTTTTTCTTCTAAAATGTCTAGAAGAAAGTTTAAGACACACAAATTTTAACATACGATTAACTAAAAGTCAGTATTTGGAGTAATAGGAAAGTATCATCCAGTTAATTATGTTTAAGAAAAAAATGGGTTTCAAGTCACATACAATTATCAAAGTAACTTTTCTCCAACACTAAGCACAACAGAAGTAAACACATTTTATAAAGATTTCCTCTAAAATACTCCAATAAATAAACACAGGGTAGAGAACAAATGAAACTAATATTGGAGGAGGGGCACAAGCAAAAACGAAACTAATATTACAAAATGTTGATAATGATTATAGTTGAGTAATGGATACACAGAGTTCATTAAATTCTCTCTTCTACGTACATTTGGAATTTTCATAGTACAAATTTAATTTGAATTAAGAAAAAACTAGTTAAAACAAACTATTTAACTACCGCAGAAGGATACAGACATGACTCTTGACATCATTACGAAGTCCTTTACGAACAAATTCATAAGCTTCTTCTTTTTTTCCTAAACAGTTCAGTGTTAATCCTTTCATAGCCAAAGTCTCTGAAAAATAATTTTTAAACTCTATTTACAAATGACAGAAAATGATTATCTTAATAGTACTTTAATAGTTGAGATCTGAAGGATTACTACGGCTCCAATTCATCTTTTTAATCTCACAGTCTGAACTTCCCTCCAAGTAGAAAAAATAAAACTACATTTAAATAGCTACTTAAAGCTTAGCAGCCGAAGTCCTCTGAAATTCCACAGTTTCAAAGTTGCTAAAATGGCTTCTGCCCTTCACAAGACTCTGTAAAAGTGGTTGATATTACTCTGCTGAAAAAATTAACAAAGCAGGCCAGGCGCAATGGCTCACACCTATAATCCCAGCACTTTGGGAGGCTGAGGCGGGTGGATCACCTGAGGTCAGGAGTTCGAGACCGGCCTGGCCAACACAGCAAAACCCCGTCTCTGATAAAAATTAGCCAGGCATGGTGGCACGCGCCTGTAATCCCAGCTACTGGGAAGGCTGAGGCAGGAGAATTGCTTGAACCCAGGAGGCAGAGGTTGCAGTGAGTCAATATTGTGCTACTGTACTCCAGCCTGGGCGACAAGAGTGAGACTCTGTCTAAAAAAAAATTAACAAAGCAGACCTGAGTCTTATGGAATTAAATCTACCATAGCAGTCCCACAGCTCTTACCTAAGGTCAATTCTAATCAATCTGATTTACAACCACACAAAAACACTCAATTTACCTTAATAAAGATATATACATAATTTAAACCTCACTTTATTCAATATTGGAACAGACTTCATTTTTGATAGCAAGTTTATTCCAACAAATTCCACTTAGGCTAATTACATCAGTTCACATTTCAAGACCACAACACTGGATGATGGTAGTGGCAACAAAAAATATGTAAGGAAGTTAATAAAAGATGGTTTAGAATGAAATAATTCTCTGAATTATCCACAAGGGAATTACGCAAGAAGAATGATTTTCAAACTGATTTCCGCAGACTCTATGGTATTCAGAAGCTGGTGATCCTGTGGTCCAAACCCCTCTCCAACACCTTTTATCTGTTTCACATATTGAACTTTCCCACAGGCTCCATTTGGACAAAGGTTCCACAGCTAAAAAGCTTGAAAACAAGCTTTAAAATTAATTCTATGAAATGAAGATTTCTTTCCAATTCCTTCAACGAATCTTTTAAATGGTGTTAGAAAAGTGAGCAAGGTCAGCCTATTTTCCCAATAAGATGATCTCAACCATTACCCAAGTCTGATACTGAGTAACCTCAACCAGCATTGCTATGCTACAGGATCGTAACTTTCATGTCTATCCTGATCCATCCTTCTAACACTGGCTATGACTGAAAAACGATACAACAAGAAAATACAAACTTTATTAACACCAGTGTTAGAAAAACAACTCGAAATATGCAATCTAATGGTAAATTAGTAATATCATATGTAAATGTCAGCACATACTAAAAAAAAACCACATCTACCAAAGAATAAAGTGCAGGTGACCATATCTTCATACTTTTATATCGCAAATTTTGTCCTAATTTTACACACAGGAAACCAAGGTATAAACTTAAAATTCTATTCAAAGTAATAAAGGAAATCAGGTCCATAAACATACTGATACATACTTTCTCCAATTTTTCCCCAATAGATAAACCAACCATCCTAATCTTATCCTTCAGTACATATACTTAAAGATAATACCGGTAATCTAGAAGACTCATATAAAGCATTAAAAAAATGCTGAACATTTATGCACTCTAATAGAGAATGGCAAGGCCTTGGAATCTGGGAAATACTCTTCTTTCACTGTTAATCCCTGGTTTTAGAATTTGATTTCCCTAAAGCAATCTCTCACATGAGACAATACCTCCATGTTCAGCAAATTTTGGGTTCGACAGAATCATCTTGCAAAACTTGAGGCCATTTTTGTACTGCTTCTGTTCATAACATTTCTGTAAAGAAATATGAACAAAAGTTATTTTATCAAATGAATACACAACGGGTATCATATATTCTTTTCACGGCATCATATATTCTAAATTCAAGATCCAAAATTAGGTCTAAAACGTGATGGAAAGGATATCACTTACAAACATGCAGTGTACTTTTGTTACCTATTCTTGTCAAATTGTTCTAAAATCTACATATTTTCATTCTTATAAAAGACTATGAAAAAAAGACATTTAAAAAACAGAAAATTTGGCCGAGGAAGGTGGCTCACGCCTGTAATCCCAGCACTTTGGGAGGCCAAGGTGGGTGGATCGCTTGAGCGCGGGAGTTCGAGACCAACCTGGCCAACATGGTGAAACCTTGTCTCTACTAAAAATACAAAAATCAGCTGGGCATGGTGGCATGCACCTGTAATCCCAGCTACTCAGGAGGCTGAGGCAGTAGAATTGCTTGCACATGGGAGGCAGAGGTTGCAGTGAGCAGAGATCACACCACTGCACCCTAGCCTGGGCGACACTGCAAGACTCTGTTTCAAAAAAAAAAAATTATAAAAATTAGCCAGATGTGGTGGCGCATGCCTGCAATCCCAGCTACTTGGGTGGCTAAGGCAGGAGAATTGCTTGAATTCAGGAGCTGGAGGCTGCAGTGAGCCTAGATCATGCGACTGCACTCCAGCCTGGGCAACTGAGTGAGACCCTGTCTCAAAACAACCAGAAAAAAATGGCAATTCAATCCATACTGCCACAGAATTTTTTAAATTTTGTTTCCCTTTCCTAGTACACAGAATTTTTGAATTCAAAATAATTCCAATGCTTTGGGAGGCCAAGGCAAGAGGACTGCTTGAGCCCAGGAGTTCAACACCAGCCTGGGGAACAAAGCAAGACCTCATCTCTACAAACAAATTAAAAATTACTCAGGCGTGGTGGTGCACATCTGTGGTCCTACTACTTGAGAGGCTGAGATGGGAGGATCACTTGAGCCCACGAGGTTGAGGCTGCAGTAAGGCATGATTGTGCCACTGCACTTAGCCTGGACAGTAGAGCAAGATACCGTCTCAAAAAAAACATTTAAGCAAAAACATGTGGCAACAGAAAAATACCAGAAACTGCACTAAAAGCCTCTGCTACTGCAAGAATGAAACCAAAGTGCATGTATAGGTGCATGCACACACAAATACTACCACTTATTGAGCAGCTATTATATGTCTGTATAAAATTTGTAATCTCTTAATACCAATTATTTAAAGTAGGTGTCATTACTTCCACTTCAGAGATGTGGAAACTGAAACTCCAGAGTTCAAAAACTTGTTTATAAGCGGCTCAGCTGCAAACTCTGGTCTTACTCTAAAGACCATCATTAGTCCAATGCAAGGATAAGCAACATCTTTATTTCTGAATGCCACCAGCCAGGGTACGCAATTAACATCTCTCCCTGGCAGTCACTGATGCGGACAACACCCCATTGCTTTCTACTCTTCCCTGGCTTAAGTTGTTCAGTCACACTGGGTGTTACGTTACTCAACATGCCAAGCTTATCCCCACCTCAGGCCTCCTATACTTGTGTTCCTTACACCTGAAATGCTTTCCTAGATCTTCCCATGGATGGTTCCTCATTATCATCTAAGTCTCACATGTCCCCTACTTGCCCACTTTATCAAATACTCCCATCCTCCTTCCTTCCCCAACATACTCTCTACCATATTACTCTATTTTCCACACAGTGCTATCATTTCCTGAAATCTTATTTTGCTATTATCTAGTGTCTGTCTTCCCCACCATCATATAATGGATCCTTAGAACAATGACCTCACCTATCTTTATTTATTTATTTATTTATTTATTTACTTTTTTTTTTTTTGAGACGGAGTCTCGCTCTGTCACCCAGGCTGGAGTGCAGTGGCCGGATCTCAGCTCACTGCAAGCTCCGCCTCCCGGGTTTACGCCATTCTCCGGCCTCAGCCTCCCGAGTAGCTGGGACTACAGGCGCCCGCCACCTCGCCCGGCTAGTTT